AAAAAAAAAAAAAAAAGAAAAGAAAAAGAAAAAACATCAAAAACAAGAGCTTACCCTATGAGTTCTTGGATAGATGCTGCAAGAAATAAATAAAAAAAACAAGTCAGTAAATGGCAATAGGGTTTAAAATATAAAAAATACTTAGGATGATAAAAAGGAAGTTTCAATTCCAAACATTAAGAAGCTGTTTTAATATGTCAATTAATTTTTCTTTGGCTTAGATCAAACTGAACGGTTGAATTCATTCAAGCAATTTACGATACTAAAGAGCTAGGAGGTAAAGAAAGAAACTGTCTGAAGACATCTAGAATCTGCAGAATTTCTCTAGCCTATGAACAATCTCCTGGGGAGGGTTAAGTAATAGAATACATAGCTAGACTATTCCAGAGAAGTAGCCCTAGGGCTAACACGAATATTACTTGGTAAAGTAATTATGTTTGTGCCTCATGTAATGATAAAATTTCGGCAAATGCCTGTTAACAATTACCAAAAGTGAAAGATCAATGAGTAAACTTGATATTAATCTTGTTATTTATGGCAGACCCTTTGAGTGGACCAATAATTATGCTGCATGGCTGCTTGAAATTATTGATGAAATTGCATAAATCACACTCCCTTAGCTTCATATACAGTACATGCATATTAGATCAATGTTTAGTTTTCATTTTCACTTTGGTATATGCTCTTTTAAAACACATGTAGAGACGAGTTAATGAAAGACTTCATATCTTAATGCACTGTTTACTTCTTACRCAAAGAACAACCACATTTTTAAACTGACTGTGTTCTGACTGAGTATATTTGAGCACAAGTGAAATGATTATAATTGTGGTTAGACATGAATTAAGAACTTGCGAACTAGCTACTTGCCACAAAATAAGAAATAAAGCATTCAAACAAGATATAAATTGTAGCCAACTCACCTGCCATGCCAAGCCCTCGACACTGTCGCTTTAAATCTTTGATTCCAGAAGCTGGTGATTGGCTGTTTCTTCCAGAACGAGTCTTAAATAAAAGTGAAAGTTGACTTAATTATCAAATGACATGCACAAGCATATGTTGTGGTGACGTTTTTAAATATTTATCTAAGTGTTATTAAGAAACAAGGACAAAACATGATCAAAATCATGTTGAATTGGGAGACAGCTTGTTAGTGTTTTGGTTGGTCCTCATAAGTTATTTCTATTTCAAAAACTTTTTGAGAATGTTTTAAATGGTACATAAATAATTCAAGAGGTCTATATAGTGGAGTTTCCACAGTTTTCTTAAAGTGTTGGAACCTTCTTATCTTTCTCAAAAACAACTTGACTTCTAATTTTAACCAAGGATTGAAAGCCACAACGTAATTGTGGCCATTGAAATACTGACACACATAATGATGTCCATTTGTGGTCATCACAATCTCACTGATATAATTATTGTGCAATGCCCAACAACTTTCTAAATACTGTCTAAACTTATAACATGCTATAACATGACTATATCCTGTGGAAGCCATTTGAATATAATCACATTATGGCCTACTTGTTGTTACAACTGAAATCGGCTTGACCACCCAACATCAACACATCAACCCCCTTAAATTATAGGAAGAGAAGGAATAGAAGAAAAAATGGGTAGGAATGAAAAATGAGAGAAAGAAGAAAGGATGAGAAAATAAATAAATCCACGAAAGAAAAAGAAAAAGGAAAGAAAAACAAAAAAGAAAGGAAGAAAACAAAAGAAATGAAGAGAAAGAAAAAAGAAAGAAGGGAAGAAAGAGAAAAAAAGAATGAATGAAAAAAGGAGAAAGAAAGAAATGCAAAGGGAGGAGGAGAGGAAGGAAAGAAGCAAACACTGACACCCTGGTCTTCAAACACCTTCTATTGGACTCCCCATGTAACACAATGACGCAAGCAATAATTAATTTACAATCAAAAACCTATAAAACAAGAGTAAACAATGAAGCTTCAATAACCTATGAGCATTATGAAACAAGACTGATATATTATTACGAGTAACCACACCTGTCTTAATTTCAATCCTCATAATTATTAATCTCAGGAAAAGCTTAGGAAAAATCTTAAAGTTTGTACTATTTTGACCAGAAAATTAATTTCAAAGCACTGTGAACTAATTAATTAACAAGAGGTTTCAATTTTTTCTGGCACATTTTCAAAATTTACATTTATAAAATATATTGAGACTGTAAGACAGCCTAAGTGTCTACAACAAGTTTGTGTACTTTGTACTTTCTTATTTATTGGCATTTTTGGTTTATATATGAATTTMTTTTATTATTTGCTGAAAAACATAGAAATTTTACTAATTAGTATTTAGAATAGAAATAATTCAAGACCTATTATCTATCATCATGACCCAAAATTAAACCTGACAGGCTAGGCCATAATGTTGGTTAAATTGAGACAATAAGAAGTGGAGAACTTTATTTGTTGGAGTGAAGAAATAAAAGAGAACGCTTATCATAACTAATAAATAATAAAAGAAGTAAAAGTAAATAAACATGGAAAAAGAAGCTAGTACAGATAAACAATTGCTTTAGCTAAATAAATTTTCTTTGKTATTGCTAATTAAAAATTAAAACCTTTCCTGTGAAAACTAGATCTTGACAATGTGTCAGACCTGAAGTCTCAGAAAATCATGATTGATAAACAAAACAAAATACAAGTTCTAATTAAAAGGAGAGAGAAAGAGATTGAGGAGTTTTGATTAAATTGGTCAGTCCTGTAATTAGTTGCAGCGATTCAAATCTACTTGAAGTTCAGAAGCACTGTGGGAATTAATTAAAATATTTAAACTTACAAAATACAGCTTAAAAGTTTTGTTTTTAATAAAAGATGCACATGGTTGTTCAATAAATTTTATCCAAAATAGAGTGAACGTGACAGAATGCAAAAAAAAGATATGAAAAGCTGACCAAATGAATTTCAAATTGGAGACTGTAATTATCTTATATAAATTTTTAATAAATAAAAGTAATGTTTGTCTCTGCCCAATGTTCTTTCTTTGTATCACTTTCTTAGAGAAAAAGCTTAATTAATTGGATTATTTTTCATCTTCCTTGCCACAATTAAAACTTGTTCTCACTTCCAAATGGAAGTATTTTTTAAATTTTTTCTTCAAATGAATGACTTTTTTTCATGATTTTACTTTCTCAAGGGGAAATTAAAGAATGGTATTATTTTGTAGATTGTCATATATTATAATATATTACTGTTTATATTATTTAYTACTCTACAATAAATTATGTGGCACAACACAGCAGACATTACTCTATTGGATTGCGTAGGAGTGTGATGAAAAAAGCTTTGTTTACAAAATGGATAGACTATAAAATACTAGAGTTCAGGCTGTGCAGCTGAAAAAAAAAAAATCAACAATATATAATAATAATAAAATTCCACAGCTCTCTCTGAAATCAAAATAATATACCATGAGAAACTGACCAGTGAGTTATACTTTCACTGTTGTGTTATTATGTAATTGTATATTTCTAATTATTATTTAATACCTATATATTAAACTTTGTGAAAATGTTCTTTGTGTAACAAAAACAGGGTATATTCATATAACMATACAAAAACTCTTTTGAAATTAAGACGAAAGTAAGAAAAGGAAGAATTGGATAAAGGAACATTTTGCAGTTGTCCTAAAAGATAAATTATATGCCTTACTTTCAAATGTTTAAATAATTTTTTTTAAATGAAAAGGACAAAGAGCTTTGCCACATACTAACTGGTATATATAAAAATCATCTTGAAATATACTAAGTCTTATATAACTTTTTATAGAAGCATTAAAATCCATCCTTTCCATACAAATGAATAAACTGTCTGCCTAATAATACTATACATGCCTAATACCAAGTTCAAATTACTTCTAGAAATTTTCAAACCATAACATTTTACTTCTTCGACAGAATGTATATGTATTTATATCATTATATAGCATTCTGTTGTCTTTGATAATCTCTTAAATTTGAACATTTAGAAGCTAGTTATTTCAAATTTGAAAAAAATAGGCTTGAGAAAACTGAATTTTCATAATGTAATACAAAGCAGCTAACAAAGAATGAAGCTGTCCAAAAGCTTCACAAGCTTTCTTTAACTTACCTTGACATAAGCTAGAACATGTCTGTCAATATGCATGTATGAAATATTATAATAAAGACTTGAAGGGAGAATAACATATGCACTACAAAATTAATATGAGCATAAAAAAGTCTGCAGAGATTAAAAAAAATATTAAGATTGTTAAAAACTAAAGAAATTAATTGTAATAATAATAATGTGCATCTGTGTTTATTCCTTACAAGAGATTAATTTCTCACAAGCTATAACTTCTGAAAAGGCTTTAAAAGTTTAAGCTCACAACAAAAAACCAAATATGGTTCATAATGAAAATTAATAATTGCAGTAAGAAGGAATATTAATTAATGGCAGTCTTGAACAAAATAAAGACTACAAAGAAAAGGATTTAAAACTCTGTTACTAGGCAACTAGAAYAAGGTTCAAGAATGTAAAGCTAGCAAGAAATAATAGTGGTCTTTCAAATCATTGATTTAGACTTACACTTAGAGTATCCAGTAAATAATCTGACTTCCACTGTACTTTGAAAACGTGAATCATGCAAAACTCATCATGGTGAAAAAAATATTAATTTTCTATTTTTCAGTTTCTTTTTTTATTCTTCTTTTAATCTCATAATCACTAGTGTTCGGAATCATATTTCACATCAAATTAGCATATACTACAGAATAATTAGCTGTCAAAGTAAAGAACTATCTTAAATCCAAATGACAGTTGATGACACAATTTCAACTAAGCTTTAATCTTAAGTCAAAGAGCAGTACTGAGTCAAAAGGACTAATCTCAAAACAAGCCAGATTAAAAATAATTGCATGGCTGAAATGGAAATTAGAGGCTTACATGTGACTAAAAAAAAAATCCAACCCCTTAACTATCCAATTTTAYTGACTCATTTGCTTTACTTTTTTCAAGTGAACGGTTATGATCATTCTCTTTTTTATTGAGTTGTAAGTAGACAAAAGAGTTATACTAAAAACAAACTTCCTAATATTCTACTTGTAGTTAGAATAAGAAATACTTACTAATCTATACAGGAAGTAGATGTATACTTTAGATTAAGTTGTGATCCTAATCTCAAATTTTCAGTTTAAACCTCAATCTCATTTATTTTTTATTTTTAGAATAAGATTTTTTAGAAACTGATCATGCATTGGTCAGATCGATGGCTTTCATAAATAAGATATAATGTARTTTTTTCAATGTTCAACACCAAAAAGAATATTGGCCGAGTATACATGTATGTTAGAACACTAATTTGGGAGGAGGGGTTGTCAGAGTGGAGGGCGAGGGCTGGTAAAAAAAATATGAAACACTGGGAAATTTTGGGTTTTTTCTACTTACTGCCATTTGCATTGATAYGCGGCCACCCCAGACAAAAATGGCGATGTGCATTTTGCGATAGACTGCCGGCAATCAAACACGTTGACATCAKTTACACGYRTGTGTGATTCAAAAGGCCCCAAAACTTGTTGATTGTTTACAAGTATTATGAGCCACACTCACCGGGTCTATCCAAACGCTTATAAATGACGTCAATGTGTTTGATTGACGGCAGTCTATTGCAAAGTGCAYGTCGYGATTTTTGTCTGGGGTGGCAGCGTAGCAATGCAAATGGCGGTAATTGATTCACTGGTCATGTAAGGGGGAGAAAACAATGCAGAAGATTTGGAGTAAATRTAATTTTCTGGGAAGTTTACTCAAAGGCTGAAAGTTACTGAAACAAGCTATTATCATTTTAGCTCCTTTCAAACATCACTAGACTAATAACAGTGAGTAATAATATATACAGTACCAGGTAAGCCCAATTTCAAAATAAAGTTGATTCTGAAAAAAGAACCCTTTCCCTAGCCTACACTGTATCAGAATTAACTTATAGTTTGCCTTATAGTTGCCTTATATTAACTTATAGTTGGCATGGGTGGCAGAGTGGTTTACTGCTCGCCTCTCACCACTGTGGTCCGGGTTCCAGCCCTGGCTCAGACTGAATAATATGTGCGTTGAGTTTGTTTGTTGTGTTGTTCTCTCCCTTGCCATGAGTGTTTTCTCCGTAAAAAGCAACACGTGAGTTGAGTGTTGTATGTTGCTTATATAGAATGTAGTGGTAGTGCGKGTGGAGGGAACCTCACAGAAGACCCGCATAGGGAGTGGTGGTCGTAAAATATAAGTTTAAAAAAAATATATTATACACTAAAGTGTGAAAACTAGGTGCTACATTACATGATTGACACTAAGCACTTATGGTATCTAATTGAATAACCAATGCTATATAAGATATTATATCATTATGAAATACCTTTTTYGCTTGCTTCTCATGAATAGGTCCTCTTTCCATGCATTCTTCGCTGCAAAATATATAATCCTTTGTCTCAAAGACAGCCTCATTGTCCACATTTTCTCTGCATGTTTCACAGACCATTTTCTCCAAACCAGAGGAAGACTTTTTCACTGAAAGGTTTTTGTTCTTTGCAGTTGTGCTTTCATCTTTTTCACTATAGTCATCACTGTCATCATCTTCACTATCGTCGTCATCATCCACACTCTCAACATCATCTATCTCTTTGGTACATTTTCTTTTAATACTATTGGGTGTTTCCGTCTCCATGGTAGATAATCTTGGTGCTTTGTAAATTCTTTCAATCTGAGCAAAAAATTTTTTAAAAATTGGTTGATAATACATAGTGTAACATAACCTATTTTTCCAAATTTGCACAGCTCAGTCTACTAAAATGATTGTTTTATCGTAGTGTAAGATCTGGTAAATAGTGTGTGTTTGGTGTATCAAAAATCTTACACCATACAAAATTCAAAAGGGTATTGATCATGGTTTTTGCCGACCACAGTTAATTTTTTCAAACCATGAAAAGAACAACTTTTGTGTCAATGGAAAATGTATGGACCCATGCATGGTTCTACTTCTGATAATGGTCTAATCTAATCATAAAACACACAATACATTTTACATAGTAGGGCATTATTTTAATACTGCTTGGATGAAGTAGGTTAATGTAGCTCATCAAAGGTTCAATGGTCAATCCACTTCACTTACTATCATCCCTCTCATATTGTGTTGTTCCAGAAATCATCCATACCCACCCCACAGAGGAATTTGGAATTTCCGAAGAGTAGGGGGGTCAGAGAAAGAACAAAAGTTTGTATGGAAGAAARTTGGAATTTCTTGGGGGTGTCTTAAATTCCTCCRTGAGRAGGGTATGGATGATGTACATAGTATAATGTTGTGAAGTCAGATTAATGGTTTCAGATCTCTTACCCACCCATCCCTCCCCCCTCCCCGACCTTTCCTCAGCCCATCAGCATGTCCYACCCCTCCCAAATCTACCCCACCTTACAGCTTAAAACTTTTTTGTGCCAAATTAAAAAAACTTTCAAAAAAGTCAATTGCAACCTATGCTTTGAAATTTGTTTTTATTATGAATTAATCCAACGAGTGTCATATTTTATCCACACACTACATTATTTTTTGACTGTGATGATTAAAAATGCCAACCAAAAAAATAACCAACATGGTGGCTATTATGTCACATGAACAAGGACAAAAGTCATTTCCACCATTATATGATATTGATATAACTAAAGAAAACAARACCAATTCTTTTGTWCAAGTCAACCAACATGGTGGCCATGACGTCACATGCACAAGGAAWAAAGGCATGTCTACCAAATGCCAACTGAATAACGAGGTAATAGGCAATTTAATAGAGTATTGTTAACGAAAAGCGTTATTGGTTAACAATGACCTTCACAAGTGCTCGTACATTAAGCGACAGAAATAAGCAGCCCCTAACGATAGTTACAACTTGCTCTAAAGATAGACATGTGCAAGTACCTGTCTTTCAACTGCATCAAAAAAACTCATTAATAATTCATGAAGGAAATGCAAAAGAAATCATGACCATGAAGGAGGTTTTATATCTGATATAGATTTGTCTTCATTTGCATAAACTTTAACTTGGATTTTCTCTATCAAACTTGGTTCATTTTGTAAAGAATTCAGTACAATATGAGAACATACATCATGAGTTTTTTAAGCCGTTTAATAAACTTGCAGATCATGTTTTATCGGGTGACCTAAAACCACTTGGCTGCACCTCATGTTTTATACCCGATAAAACACTCCTGCTCGTTTATTAAACATTACTTAGGAAACACAAACTGTCATTAATTAATTAAATAACCACATATTGAAAAAGATTGCCCTGAAAAATGTTAAAAAWTTTTTTCAAAACAGACATTCAACTTAGGAAATGCAAAGTGCAATAAAGAAACACTGATTAGGATTATCCAATGCCTACTGTACATTTTGTGTATTTTGTATTGAGTCACAGCAGTTGTGCCTCCAATTAATGTGCTAATTGATCCTTTGAGACTCCTATAAATTGCCCAAAGCAGTTTTATAGTTACAAAATATTTACATCAAATAGTACTGACTGGCATGAGTTTGTRATAATAATATTTTGTATGTCAAATACAGTAGGAAACATTAATCAATATTAATCAAGCTCAAAATACYTTTATGTTAACTGCAATATTCTAAAATAGCCTTAAGAGAAAGCTTGAGTATGTCATAAAAATTATAAGCATGAGCACTTTATATATCATAGCCAATGCATATTTTTTACAGGAATATAAATACAGAAGATTACCCTAAAATTTTCACCATGGTAAAGAAGGGCGGGTGCTAAAGCAGTTACTTTGTAGGCAAAAAAATAGAAAATTCTCCTTTGGGGAAAAACAAACAATGTAAAAGATGACCACTGTGAAGCTGTTATCAAGAAAACTGTTTTTATACACTTTTGCAAGTGCATAAATGTCAAGATGATCCTTGAATGGAACAAATACAGTGATTTTCTTACATTTAATGTCAGCCAGCACTTACTTCTTGTTTCAGTTTATTAACTGTTAGTAGAGCAAGAAGCAACTAGCAGTATCACTAACTTCTTGGTAGGCATGCTTGTCTATTACAGCTTCCTCACCCCTTCCCCAAGTATCATGCTAGGTAATAATAATAGTATATAGTAATATYATAACATTTATATTTAGGTATCAGCAAGGTACTGCAAGAGTTTAAAGATTTACCAAATTCAGCAACTGAACAAGGACGGTTTTGATCTTAGGTCTTGATCGCTTATATATATAGCTATTAAGCCTTTTTATGCACATTGGAATTTAAAGTTTTTGTGAAGGAAAGAGATTAGTGCTTGACTATTACCAGCCATTTAACAGCCATGTCAGCAACATGGAAGGAAAGGTTTTGACCTTAGGTCTTGATCGCTTATATATAGCTGTTAAGCCTTTTTTATGATACAATTGGAATTGAAAGTTTTTGTGAAGGAAAGAGATTAGTGCTYGACTATTACCAGCCACTTAACAGCCATGTCAGCAACATCGAAGGAAGTTGGGTCTTGATCGCTTATATAGCTGTTAAGCTTTTTTTATGATCACATTGGAATTGAATATTTTTGTAAAGGAAAGAGATTAGTGCTTGTTTTCCTGATATGCCTATGAGAAAAAGGCTGCACAAACTGTATTACCCTTTCCTGAGCTTGATAAACAAGATGCATTGTGGTCCAGCTTTTAGTCAAACAATGTACACCATTTAAGAGATGACAAAGGAGTGAAAATACTTTGTACCAACACTATACCACAATGCAGATTGCATGGCTTTTAAGAACCATACACTGCTACCAAACATTCAAGGTTACTGGCAAACATCTCCATGCAGTCTTAGCTGAACTATGTTTTTGTATTTGAACACAATTAATGATTCTGCAATTTGGTATAAACTATATGTATTAATAGATCTTTTTTCGGGTTCGTAAAATATCGYTGTGTCCCTTGACAAGAGATTCATTTTTGCAGGGTAGCCTTGATTTTGTGCAGAAAATTCATGTATTCCATTGAAGGTCTGTGGAATTTCAAAGTRTTCGTATTGTTGAAGTTGTGCATTCTTTAGTTTATTATTTGTGAATATTTTGACATAAAACRAGGCTAACCCTCAGTAAATATTAATTTGTAGTCAAGGAACACGGCGATATTTTACGAATTCGAAAAAGGAATATTGAGACATAATCAGGCATTATTGTTTGGTGTTTACTTTCTTTGCTTTGCTAAGTTTATTATAACAACTTCGATAATCATTATATTGGTTTCTGATTGTCACGTCATTAAGACTCATAAATGCTCATAAGGCATTTGCAATCTAAGTCTATATAATTTAACACACCTGGCATATATAGGTATATATAGATGCAGGATATGTACTGTGTGTAAGACAACAAAATGTTAAGATCTTAGACAGACATCTAATTTGGTTTTAGCATAATAGAGAACAGAACTCGAGCCCAAAAGTTTTGAGATAAGAACCATTTATGGCTATGTTAATCAGCAATAATACTATATTTTTGAGAGATAACAGTCTAGCTGCTGAAGATGGTTCAGTTACCAGGAAATGAAAATAAATGCCATATGATATTGTTTTCCTATGTTGAATAAAGTGAATAAAATAATTAATTTATTGTTTTTTAGCTTTTATGCTTCATCTAACAATCTGTTAGTTTTCATTTGTGCATCCAAGTCGAAACAAATATTTATGATCGTGAATRAAATAGGATTTACATGACATAAAAAAGATATATAATACTAAAAATTCAATTAAATAAATGGTCATCATTGGGGGAAAAAGCGAASAATTTTATAAAGAATTATGCTCAATATATTAAGGCAGGGGAACTACAATATTCAAGGAATTTTTAATTAAAAAGAGCAAGTGGGTGGGGTGCTAGATGCAAATAATTATATGCTGATCAAACAGCTGGTTGGGGCTTGATTGGTAGCTTAATTCAGCTTCACTTAATGCCTCAAGATATAGGAAAACCTATTGGAACTCCTATCAATTTTCTTTCTTCCTTATTTCAAAAGATAAAAACAACTCTACTTGGCTATGCATGCTATTAGCTTAAGGAATTGAGAATAACTTAGGGGTAGATGAATATAATTTACCTCTAAAATTAATTAGGAAATTCAATATTTTTAAATATTAAAATCTTAAAACTATAAATGGAAGGCAAAAAAAAAGCAACATGGAAAAGGGATTTTGAATTTTTTTGACATATAATCACTGATTAATTATGCTTAAATGGAATGTTAAGGAAGAGGGGTAAAAACAAAATTATAATCATAGCTTTCACCTCCAGGGATTGTCAAAAAGAAATGACATCAGYAGCTTGATGAAAAGTGACTGATTAAAGAGAATGTTTTAAAAACAAAACCTTTTAAAATTYTCTCATGTTTATACATCCATTAAGTTTGTTCTAACACTGACAAATTTTAATATTTTCTAAAGAATCACAAAAAGTTTATCTACATTYATTGATAAATGCATTATAAAAGAGATAAGATTCTATTTTAAGACCTGTTTCAATTGATGTGGGTATTGATAGTAGTTCATTAAGAAATGGAATTTGGATTAGGAATTTGAATGGGAATAGAAATGGGAAATTTGAAGCAAGAGTGGTTTAATGGTTGTGTAATCACCACTGCATTTGGTATCACACGTAAGCAAAAATTGTGGAGTCTCTCACTTGACTGAAGTTTTTTTTCTTTTCTTTTTTTTTTTGATTCCAAATTTTCATAGCTCAAAAGTTTTTTCAAGCTTTCATTGAATAATCTTTGGTTGGCTGTTTTAACTATGTTAACAAATTTTTGAAGTATTTTTTTTAGCATGAAGTTAGTGAGTTTTTAATATCTTACTTTTTCATCCACATAAGGGCATCATAAATAGTAACTCTCAAATGAGTCGTACTTTTTGATACTTTTTTGTGTCAAGGCATTATTCTTGGAATTGCTTTTAGCAATTATCTAAGTTTCAGGATAATTTTAGCACAAAATTTTGAGGAATTTTGGATCAAAGATTTTGAATTTTTCAGTCACTTGTAAATKAAAGAAAATAATCCATACTGCTTGATACTTTTATCCTAATGTYGCAGAATCATCATAAGCCCTTTTAATCTTTCTTTCAAGCCTAGTGAGTGAAGTGATCATATGAATACTGCAATTTGCTCTATATTCAACAAAGTTATTCAGGGTATGAGTAAATAACTGGTGGTAGTCAAAGAGAGTTGAATGTCCACTCAAAGATAAATGTGTTAATAATGCTGAACACATACAAATGATCTTTGAAAATCATAACAGTTGTGGCTAACCACCGAGGAACCAATACCACTGACATGTTTATTAATTTTCATGATTGGAATAGTTACGAACATTTGAATGTGCCCATCAATACAGCTAAATTGAATAAAATTCTAGTAGAATTCTAGAGAAAGAGCAGGAAGTTGCAAAGGAAACCATTACRTATGTCCATAATTCCAGCCAAATTGAGAATTCTAAGAACTATACCTTCGAAAAGGCATTTGACGGCAAATTTCAGAACCATTTGAAATGAAACAATTGTGGTTCATTATGTATTCATATATTGTAAGGCAGAAGAAAATTCTTCAGGAGAATGGCATAACTCAGCTATAAGAAACTTTATTTGGAAAGAAGAGAACAAAATAAGACAAAAAAGTTAAACCTATAATTGATCACAAGTACATGTATGTCGATCAGAGTGGACTTAAATTGTGGTTATGGATTGTTTTTCTAGAACAAAGTTCTTTGGTCTCACTGATGTACAGAGGAGATAAGACTTGATTCTTTCAACCAAACAGCTGCCCTACTGAACTAAATTAACATGTGTAAGAACCATCTACTGACAGCTAGAAAAAAAAGAAAAAATAAGCTGTTCTTTTTCCAAAATGAAAAGTTTTGGTCCCATTTTTGAGTAAACTTTGTAGAGAATATAAAAAAATGCTTCCAGTGGAGTTTAAAAACCTGGAGTGGATGCAATRAATTAAACAAATAAAAACGTATGCCTTCACAACATATTTCTCATCAGTATACAGCATAATTTGAATTCACACACACACACCTGGTTCAGTTTGAATAGAACTAGTTTCATGCTTTTGGATTTTTATTTATCAATTTTTATAAACTGAAATAAATGCTTGAGCCCATTTTGCAAAAGTATACGAACCATTTTTTTCCAAACAAAATAATAGTAATAGAAAATTGACTACTGCAGATTTTAATTGTTTAAAATATTTTTCTCAGTAATCAAGCAAGGAGCATATATATTAATAGAAATGCTTGGTGTGGTTATTTCTTGTCAAAATTATCTACATATTTAAGTATTTTTGAAACTGTCTTATTGTTGTCATTATCCAAATATCTAGCTCAAAAACTTCAATTCCCAAAATTAAAGCCTTTTTACAAGAAGAGTRTGGATGCAGTAAACGGATGTAAAGTTTTAGAGGATATTTGAGTCAAAAAATAATAAATTTCTAAAAGGTGGTTATTTATTTCAAAAGTGTATACATTGTGATCATCAAATACTAGTAATTTAAATCCTAAGCACCAAGAAGTTTGTATTTTTTCTCTAACGATTCAAAATATATGTTTTTAATAAGATCTGCTGGTTTTTTATTACCAATCATTTTCTTTAAATCTCAAGAGATATAGTACTTTGGCAAAGATCTAGTATTAAATTCTTGAACAACCAACTACATTTATTTATTCATTCAAAGAACAAGTCTAAATCAATCTTTCAGTTGTAAAAAAAACGCTGGGTTTTCAACTATTTTGAGTTATACATTTCTATTTCCTAGAAGTTCTAGTCCCCTTATAGAATTTCCTACTTAGAAAACGAACTAGAACAAGAGTTTTCGTGTGCAGACAAGCATTTTACATGACGTAAAAAAAAACACTTTTCTGATTGAGAACATTGAGAAATTTACATATCGTGTATGTTGCATTGTTAATTTCATGTTGTTCCTTTGCCGCTGAAGTCGATTTCAGCTTATCAGCAGTTACAAGAAACTAAGAATTAAAGCTCTAAAAATCAAAGCGAAAGTTTTCGAAACTTTCGATCGCCAGCGCTGGGCATCGCCTTCAAGCTGCTAGCGCGAAGGAATGATTAATTTTCGATAGACAGAAAAAGAACTTTCCTCAACTCCGCGAATGAATGGGCAAAAATYATGCAAATTAGTTTGCCTCCGTTTGTGCGGAAAACTTTGTCCAATTCTTTTTATATTCGAGAACGCAAAGCATTTGGTTGAAATAATGGCTGAATATACCTGTTCAAGAACGCCAAAAAATTATCCCAAATACTAAGGATTAAAATCAATTTAATGCCTTGGGGAAATTTCAGTGTTTTTGTACAAYACCACGTAAGTTTTAAAGAGCAGGCGAAGTAAAATTCGCCAAAATATAAACCTCTCGACCGTATCGAATTGCARCCCTCGCGTAACAAATTACAAGTTTCAGAAATAAGAAACAGTCGATGTAAACATTAAAAGTTTGGTCTTACTTTGCCAAATAAATTCGTTCTCAAACTTACCATTTCTTGGTCTTCAGCTTGTCTCTTTTGGCGAAGTTCTGCAGTTAGCTGCCCATCTTGAAGTCGAATTTCCCCACTATTTACGACAACAACATCCATGTTACATTCGCAGCCCAAACTTGCCTAAAATTTGCCCTTTGACAGCCTGTGAAAGCCTATCTCTTTGCTTCTTTATGTCCTAGAAAGAACAACAGAGAGTCGAGAATAAATGACAAGAACAGCAAAAGCGAAAGCACGAAGTTCGCAAATATTTTCCAATAAAGCTTATAAAAAAATTACGGGTAAAAAATCTATATTGATTTGACACGGTTGATATGTAGTATTTCACCCAACGCGCAAGTACACCAACACCATATCAAAACTTTTAGATCGAAGAAAATTGAACATTCCAACTGCTTACATGTATGGTCTTAAAACTGTGAAGGCAGAAAAATATAGTAAAAAAATAGAAAAAAATATCTAGCCGCGTAAGAGGCTTACTTAACGTAAATCTTTTGTATTTCAAAGAAGTCGTGTCTTTGGTTAAATTACGAATATACGATGAAAGTTGAGATAATTTCGAGCTCTGCGAGAATTTGTATTTACGTCTTACCGAGCGTAGTTTTAGAACGTCACAAATATTTCTAAGCCTTATTCAACTGAAACTATTATTCTTTTAACCGAACAGCAGTTAAACATTGACATGGATTTTTACAGCTATTTAAATACATCATCAGATGGATGGAATAAATTTAGAACTGCTTGAAGTCGAGAAAGAATAAAAACAATGGGGAATTTCTACTCGAATTTAGGCTATCCTCGTTCGAGAAATCATCARGAATCTGTCGATTATCGTGGTCAGAAATTCTGGAGTTTTTTGGCGAAGTAACTTGCCTTACGAGAGTTCTCCGTTCACGTATTTCTTCGTTCGCTCACATGCTACAATTTGCATAAGAAAACTTTTTTGTGTCACCGCAAGAAGTCAACCATTCCATCTAAGAATGTTACCAGAATCGAGTATTTTACGCTCGAATAACAGCCCAAATCCAAGCTGGACTTACCTTCCTCGAGATACCTAAAAACTCTAGTACTTCTCAGAGCTGTTTGGGGGAATTTTCGACGCCGGAACAATTTCAGGAGTTGTTTTTACATACCTCGCGTCAGATTTCTGACTCGCCACTCCAAATAAATTGCAACAAAGGGAAAAGTTCAGAAACAAAACTCTCCCAGCATGCACAGCGCGTATTAGCCCCCTCTGGTTATTCTCGTAATTAAACATTAATAAAAAAGTAAAAAAATATCGTTATCAAAAACTCTTTTAGATTTAGAAATTGAGCCTCCAATAGCCAGTGAAATAATAACAGGGTTTAGACAGAGAGTTTTAGTATTATTTGAGACACAAGGACGTATTCATGAGGGATASTGGTGGGAGATTTTCGCAAGCCGTTTGATGTGATGTGTGGGGAAGTTCTGTCGCGTTGATGGTGAATTTTTAATAAACGGCAAATAATATGGAAAACACTTGCCGCTAGTAGTCAATTTTAAATTTTACTGGAACTACGTATTATAACTAAATAAAAAGCCTGTCATGATTTCTGTTTACTATTGAAAGTGAAATGTTCGGCCGTCTGAAATKGTATATACAATGAATGTAAATTAACCGAAGTGAAACTTTTCAGTTTTGGAGTTTGTTTCATATCTTGGCTCAACCAAGACGATTCGCTCGAAACATTCACCAGTTAATCGAGCACAAATAATTTTTGAAGTTACTTTTTATTTTGATTAAAAAAAGGGAAAATATCAGAAAATCAAGTGACTCTCTTCAGCAGATACATGAATGTGTTGACTCGCATGAATTTCAAATACCACAAAATAAACTCCGTCTTTGCAATGCAAAAATCAAAGTCCATTTAAAGATTTTGAGAGAGCTTTTTAATGATTTAAATAATCAAGTAACAGCTTATTATATGAGCCACTAGCGAGCAACATTGTTAAGCCATGCTAGGATTGCATAGCAAAGTAATGTCGGACGTTTCATACTGTGTGATAAGAATTAACAATGAGGCGATTTATTTTCGCTTCTAATATGGCACCAAACTGGGCGCATGGAGAAGAATGCTGGAAAGCCAATACAGGAACGTCAACTGTTGACTCCATAAAACTAGGGACTACGATGGAATCACAGCTAGTAATATTGCAAAACAAAAGAAGTATATCTTAGAGCAGCTGTTTGTGAAGTATGAAACACAAGAGCATAATAAAAATAAAAATAATATTTTGAAGAAAAAAAAAATCAAGCTAAGCCAGTCACAATACTATAGTTTAACGTTTTAGGATCTTTTTTTTCCTTTTCTTTGATCAGTTAAGCGGTAGGGAAATACTTTATCAATAAATTTTCGAAAGTGACACTTGCYTGTACCAAATGATTATCTAGTGTCTTTAGTCATTTATTAGTTCTAGTCAAGTCTATTGAAATTCCAAAGATACGACATATCAAAATACATTAATTTGCGAAATAGCAAGTGAAGAAATATTTTAATTTGCTTAAATATCTAGAATAGCTCGATACAGCAGCTGAAGCTATCGAAGAATTCACTATAAATGGTGTTCAAAACTGCGATATCTAGAGGAACTTTAAGAATGAAATAAAGTTCAGTGCGCGAAGAGTGAATGAATATAGCAAGATGTCAGTAATTATAGTTTTTTCTATTATCCACGACAGGAAGCACTGAGATAAATCTAAACAAAAAAACTTTCATTTATCGCGACTACGGAGGGCAAGAAGAAGTTTTTACATATTRAACTTTTAAGATGAGATCGAACACGGCGCAAATTCGTGTTTTGTACGTGATTTTTYGTTTTTAATGCGTGTAGCTGGAATACTCAAATAGAAGCGGTTTTTGACGTCGTTATCGTGTATTTTAGTACATCTGTTGTTTCTACGGCGAAGAATAAGTAATCATCTACGTCGAAAAACAATAAAGAAATCAGATTTTACTCACATACAAAAGTGAAGAATATTAAACAATTCAAGGTTTTAATCCCAAACGAGATAAAATGAATTGTAGTCGATAATAAGCAGAGGGTTAAAAATTGGAAAGAGTGGAGAAAACTATATAAAATTACCATATTGAAGTAACCTAGAAATAATTCTTTTAAAGCGATAAATAATGCAAAGYGAAAGTTCACATGTATTAGTAAAGTAGTTGTATAATACTGACACGTCCGACGTTCAAACATTTAATAAGATAGTTTAACAGGTCTCATTCTTATTCTCAATTCTTTTAGCACTAATACAAGAGCTAGCACGAGTGATATACTAATTGTATTATTATAGACATCAATACTATGTTGTATTTCAACAAACCGCAACTTTACTACTACTAGCGACTACTGCTACTACCACTAGTCAAGGGCGGATCCAGCCAAAATTTTAGGGGGGGGGGGGGACTAATTGAGTTTCTTCCGTCAACACAACGGAAAACAATAAAAAAAGCATCTTATTCTTCATTTTTGTTATGTTTTGTTTTTCTGCTGAAGGGGGCTTCAGCCCCCCTTTGTCCCCCCCCCTGGATCCGCCCTTGCTAATAACATCATTGCCTCCGCTGCTGCTGCTGCAACTAATGACCCTTCCACCTACAAGTACCACGACTATCCCATCATTTTTGCTTCTGCTGCTGTTCTTTCTCCTCAGTACTGCTACTACTAATACTGCATGCACCTAATGCTACTTCACACTGATTGCAGATGCTATACCAGTGCATGACACTACTGTCCCCATTACCGCTGCTAACATTCTACTGTCTTCCGCTTGATGCAACCAGTACTTCTACTATTACTATTAGTACTTCTTACTTTAGGCAGGTGTTGCTACTGGTCACCTGTCTGCGCCAGGTGGCACCAACGTCCTACGCAGTAGTAGTAGCAGTAGTAGTAGTAGTAGCAGCAGTAGTAGTAGTACAAGCCCTATTACTGCTACTGCTTCTTCTTTTTTCTAACCCTAACCAACGCCCCATTGCAAATACTACTGCTACCGTTGGTTGTTGATCTTTGGAAGCTKCTGCTGTTATTACTCGTACAATATGTTAATGCGAGCATCCTCACCACAAGCAATCAAGTAGAMCTCTTGTGTCATTCTCTATAGTATCATTTCTTTGTTTAACTGTTGCGCATGAGAATTGAGACAAATGAATATGGATACAACTCAAACAAAGAAAAATATTGTCAAGAAAATGACACGTGGTCTGAGATGGGAAAACATCACGCCCAAGGTAAAGGAGTCTATATCTCCCACACCATTTCTACCATAATCACCGCGACCACCACTACTACAAATACTACCACTATTGGTACTATTCTGAATAACTGGAGCTAAAAAGTGCTAGGGTAGCTGTAGTAACTTTAATCTAGTAGTAACAAAACTAAGGTGATTACCAAAATATTCTCTTTTTTGACGCAATAGATGACAAAGGGGCTAGCATTAAACCGAGTAATTAATTAAGTCGGACCACCAACTAACTATTTTACGAGCAGCAAATTTGTTGGTAGAGCGAACAAAAAAATTGAAAACTTGCGCCGTCAAACGGCCTGTTTTATGGTCCAAATGTAAGCTGAATGTCACCTCTCTGCTATACCGTTAAATAAGCGCAGATTCTAATATTAGGCTTAACTGAATAACTCGAATGTAACGGAAGACCAAACCTGATTTAATTTGAACACCTGCGTACGAAGGAAAAGAAAAAKAAAACTCTCGAAAAAGCAGCTTCAATTTCGCGTTGGAGAGTCGGATTGGATGTAGCGTAGAGCGGAAATCGATCTCAGATAACAGAACTTTGTCAATGAAGCCGAGAATGGAGCTTTCACATTAAACTCATACAACTGAAAGGACATAAAAACTTTCTCGAGGAGTTCTAAATACTCAAAGGGGGGATTTCTACTCAAGTAACAGTACAATCATATCAAAAGTATTTGCGTCTGATAGAAAGTCTTTCAAAGAACTCGAGAGAAAAAACTTACTGGATGGACGTCATTGTCGAGTCACGTGACCATAAGGCAGCTGATTTGGTGCTTTCTTTTATACTCATGTGGTTTCTSAAAAACTAAAGAAGTAATCAATTGATAAGTCGAAAAAAGTATTAATAGAAAATGATGAGAGTAAGAGAGAAAATATTTAAAAAAAAAACTTAAAAAAAAACTAAAAAAAAATTGAGAGTGGTGTTATTCTTCGATAAGAGAGGAACTCGCCTGGAGAAATACGAGTCAAATCTCTTTTTTGGCACTCGATCGGAAGGGATTATGTATCTGGTTACAATTTAGTTCAGTTGGCATAAAAATAAAAAAGCTTAATCTAATCAAGGCTGGAAATGATTAAAAWAAACGAAAGCAATACAAAACCATGAGGAAAATATGAACTGCGATGAAAAGAGATGACACTAATAGAAAATGAAAACAAAAAGAAAACTTTTTCTCAGTTTTTGTCTTGTAAGGAAAGGATTGGTTCAATTGGACTACTTCAATGAGATATAATATAGTAAGGAAATTGGGCTAAAATGATAAATTCTCTTACTACTATACAACTACAAAACAAAGCAAGGGAAAATGTGAGGCAAAACGAAAACAATTAAAAATAAATAAAAAAGGAAAATGACAAATAGAGTAAAAATGAAAAAAAAAATGCAGAAATTTGAACTCATCGTAACTGTCAATATTTCGCTAAGTCATTAGCAGAATAAATGATCAATATAACACGCAGCTTTATTTGAATGATGAATAAAATATCAAACGAATTATGCATCTGTATTGAGCCACTAATTTTTAACACAAACACTTCCCACTTTTCGTTGTTCTTTGCTACTTTTCTTCTTTGCTTTCAAGTAAAAAACCCTCTTTCTTTTCTACTTAAAACTAAGCTTAATAATAATAAAACCTCCCTTTTTCTCCTCGAGTTAAAGATAATAGAATAAATCCTAGGCATTAGTATCCCCTACCCTCCTGAGGGTAGTACATACGAACCTACGTCATTCATCTTGAGTCATACGAGTATTGGCTCTTATGAAGCGATCATTATTCATGAGGGGAAATCGTAAAGTTTTAATTTTTTCCCTTCCTATATAAAAGGATGAAGATCTTGTGGCACCCATTCCAATTTTATTAGCCCTTCTCCGAACCTCATCCTGTAATGTAGG